TCCTGTGGAATCCTCATTGTTTTCCATGAACAGACAGACTGGGTGCCACAGCTGCATCATGCAACTGTATCCCCCAACATTGAGTATTGTTTAAAGAACACAAGCATACGTTTGAGACTTAATTCACAGCTTTTAAAAGACTTTAATCTACATCAGTGGACATGGCCTAATAGCCTTGAGTAAAGTTCCAAGACGGCCAAGGACAACAACATTATCTTGCAGGCTCATAGATGCCGTATCACGGCTGCCAAGATAAAGCTGCTACCAAATGTTTGCCAGATTATAACTCTAACATCTAGAGCGATGAGCAGAAACCGCGTCAGGAGGAGTCAGGTTAAACAGAAGTAGCAGCAGAAGAAGAGGTTTGATAAAATTAGAAGAAGAATGTGGTGGGATACGGCGTCTCCTGGATCAAACACAATACGTATAACGCGGCACCAGATCCTGGCAATCGATTTGAGCAACAACGGCAAATTCATCGGCAATAAGGTTGGGCGATATGATGGTATATATCGTACGATGGTACCGTTTCCATACTCTCATGGGATCTCGGCTATAGCTACTAAACAACAAGACATGGGCGGCCTCGTTGGCGTTGAGAGAACAGGATGTAGAGCCGAGAACAGCCAGGAAGTGACATAACAATGGCGGAGGAACCAGGATGATGGGAGGAGAGAAGGGGGAGGGAGGGGTGAGGCGGCGAGAACGAGGGGGCGAGGCGGGACAGACAGAGGAAGGAAATCTAGAGAGGGAGAAAGCTTCAATGAACAATAAATCAGTTAAATCTACCAAATGGTTTGGGTAACTTGGACAAAAATACAAGCAATGGGGGTGTGGTTCACATTTATTCTGTAATATTTACATATTTTCTTCTACAAATTGTTGAATTAATACCAAAACTCTTTGTTTGGCCTCGTCATGATGGCAAGAACAAATGCAAACAGAGGCAGAAGCAGACATTGTGTCTTTATAAGAGTTCACAAGCTCAAACAACAAACATCCAAGAAGTGCTCGCTTGGCGTGTGACAAACATCAGTTTACAGGTAAAAGACTGTTCAAAGTCTGCAGAGGTTTACAATGATCTGGTTGGTGATAAGATCTGAATCTGTCCACCACCGTGGCACTCAGTCCGTCTATCAGTGATAAAAAACATGAGGTACTTTTCCCACAGCGACAGATAAGGAAGTTCAAATCTTAGCTCAACAGCAGAGAATGACCTCACTTTCATGTGTGCAGGGATTACGAAAACAAAAACGCGTCAATTGGCACAAAGACTGAATTGTGCTTCTTGATAAAGTTAATATGAATAGAAATAAACAGAAATGACATAATGGTAAAACACGCCTGCAGAGGGCTGCAGGGTGCGGTCAGGTAGGAAATAGTGCACCATAAATCCATCATCTCTGGTCAGGAACAACAAACAGCCTCCATTATTACTGTGCAGTGTACACTATGACGTCAGCTGGCAAACACAGCCACAGCTTCATCTCTTTGACTGGGAACACTGGTGTCCCGTACAAACCGGGCACTGGAGCAGGACTGTAGAACTTCCTCTGATGGGTCAACATTACTGCTGTCGTGTAACACTGCAGCTGGAACCGTAAGCCGATTTAAATTCAGCATTTATGCACCGTTTATGGAAAGCACTTATTGGCAATATTATGCAAAAAGAGAAAAATGCTGTGTGTGAAACATTAAAAAACACCTAAGTTTCCCAGATTTAAGGTCCAAAAACAGTTATTTGTCACTTACAAGGAGGTGCTTTTGAGTTTCCTTTTGGTGAAAAGTTAAAATAATAAAAGAAAATACTCTCTACGTCTCCATGCTGTTGAATGTATACCGTCTTAAACTTGTATTTACTCGTGTTGGACTCCCTGAACCAAGAACGAATGTTGAATTCTTACACCAGGCTGCAGGAAATTCTTGATAAACAAACTTCCTCCCTGAATCAAAATATCTTTGCACAGAGATTACACTTTGCTGTCTTTTGCAAACCTTAAACACACTTCTGAGCACTAGCTCCGATCTGCCATATTGCGCTATGCAGATATTGATGCATGCATTAAACAGAGAGTCCAAACTTCTCTTCTAGGAATCAGTACGTAGAATTCAATGTTTCTCAATGTGCGCCTGGTTTCTGAGAATGTGTAACCAGTTCCTCTTAAAGCCAGCTCTAGATACCCGACTCCACTATAATATATATTAACTTCTTCATGGTCACCTGACACTCGTAAGTGAAGACAACTGCTAACATACTAACGTCCGTCCATTACAGGCACAACACAAGCACTGTCGGAGCAAACTACATTAAATGTTCTGTAGCAGGCGGCTGTGTGACGCGCAGACAACCACAGCTGCAAATGGACAACACACACCAACTGGGAATGTAGATATGGTACGACTGTAAAACCAAGTCTGGGTCCATTAGATTAATATTGTTTGGGTAAAAATAAAATATACTTATGGCAATAATGTGTGCGTTTGTTTACTTTATTGGAGTCTCACGTTTTATTACTCTACGTCTCCCATAGGTGTAACATTGAGGATGTGTGTGTTTGTCTCTCCATGCATTAGTCATAAAAACAACACTGGTGACCTGCCAAGTGTGTATTCTCTACCTCTGTGCATGCTGCAGGACACCCGGAACAAGACCGTGCATGAACGGAGGCGCGTTTATTTATGCGATAATGTCAAGAACTGAAGCCCATTTCATATAAGTGCTCCGTCAATAAAATGCATTACGGTTGTTAAAAAACTAAAAACCATGAACATGAGCTCCAAACATCATGTCTGAAAGATGATGAATAAAACCACATAAAGCCTTCAGTCTGCCCGGATGATCTGAATTGAAGATGAGCTGCTGTAGCTGTCCAGTGTGTGTGTGTGTGTGTGTGTGTGTGTGTGTGTGTGTCCTGGGGGTTGGGTGGGATTACCCTTTTTTCATGAGACACACAGACCCACTGGTCAGCGTGACATTTCCCGACAGAAACACCATTCACACACTGAAAAGGTGGACGAGTGGGGGCAAGAGAGTGTGTGTGTGTGTGTGTGTTGTTAGGGAATGGGCATGAACCCTGCTTCAGTCTCTACTGAAAGATTGTGTGTGTGTGTGTGTGTGTGTGTGTGTGTGTGTGTTGGATATAGAGATAAATCCTCTTCTCGCCAGACTGTTCCATCTCATTTCCCTGGTTGACCATCTAGAACCAGTTTATCAGCCGCCAGTCTGTCTGTCTCTCTGTCTGCTTCGTGTCTCTCTCTCTCTGTGTTTGTCCTCCGTCTCTCTGTTTGTCCTCCGTCTCTCTGTTTGTCCTCCGTCTCTCTGTTTGCACTCGAGCTTATTAAACTTCACTTTCTCATACAGTTTAGACTCAAGCCTGGTATCTTAATGAGAGATGTCTCCTCTCTCCTGGGAGACTCTGTGATTAAAATCCAACTGAACTCACATCTAGTCATTCGTCTTTGTAAACATAATGTCAACGTGTTGCCACAGAGCTGGTGTTACACCGTAGGGAACAAAAAGACAAAGTAATGAAACTAGCCTACATGTCATGTACAACAAATCTGCATGTCGTATTCTGTCCACCAGAAAGTACTAACAAGTTTATTTCCAACTGTAAAAACTCTAATCTTGGTCACAATTCTTTAAGAATGACTGCAATGTGCATAAGTACAACTCAGTGGCATAAATACACAGCGACTCTCACAATAACCTTCTATTTTCCCCCGATAATAAACCAGTAATTTCATCCAGCAGTCCCACACATTGTTCCAAAAGGACCGGCTCTTCTCTCGTTGTAATTACTGACGGCATGTGGGGAAACCACGGCCCCATTCCAGGTCTGGAGCCACAGTTTAAGCCACCACGGGTCACAACCTCTCATGCAGCAGTGTATGGGCCACATTGTGCATCCACACACACACACACTAACACACACTGCCATGAGGACCTGTGTTCAGAGCCTGTTATGGAAAAGGGAAGGGTCATGCATTGCTGCAGAGCAATCCATGTCTCACACACACACACGCACACACACATTAAGTGGGCAGAGAAGAAGAATAGCTCACTTCTGTTACAGTATGCTGAAAGCATGGAACAAACCAGCTGTGTTTGCAAGCCTGTCTGGGACACTGTGAGCATGTGTGTGTGAGTGCATGCACAAGTGGATCGGTGTTAGTGAGAGCCACTTGAAGGCTGTAGCAGGCCAGTGTTTAGTCCAAGACCTGAAGAGCGGCTTCATTTTTGGAGTTCCAGACATGTTTAAAGCTGAATGTCTTTGGTTTTAACTCCAGTGACCCGTCGAGACCCAAGTCTCCCAGTCTGCAAGCAGGGAAGGACTTGGTTGGAATGCATAATTATATTTAGGGTTATTTAAACTCTGGGATGAGGCCAAAGTGGGTCACAAGGTTGGGGGTGTGGTGGACTCATGCGAGTCCCTGGAGGTGATAACCGCCTCCTACTTCTGTATTGTAAGATGTTTTTGTTGTTTATTCAGCACTACATGAATCAACCCTTAATATGCCAGCCCTTTACATTTTAAATGTGCAATCTGCAACTCGACAACTTATTGTCAAATCCGAAGTAGGCTAAACCTGACAAACTGTCAAAAGAGGATTAAGACACAGACTGGTTGTTATGCAAATATTCATATCGTTTGCCAAACAAGTCTGTCGATTGAATGTCTCCTAGTTGAAAGGAAAGGCAATATTAAAAAGGTAAAAACATAGAAGAATACCACTAAACACACTACGACACAACAGGTGAAGCAACTCTAAAAGTGTTATTTTAATTTAAATAGACGCGTTTTTTAAAACAGTATGACTACTACAGGAGTGCACATCGGCTTCAGTTCAGTTTATAGTTCACGTGCATTTGCTCGTAAACGAGAGAATATTAATTTGACACATTTTTGCAGGAAGTTGTGGGACAAGCAGGCTTAAAGCTTAAAGCTGGTCTGCAGCTCGCGCACTTTAACAGAAGCGTTGCAGAACGTCACGTCTACCTTGTTCACTGTCACTTTTCCCGAGGGCTTTCTGAAGAAAGAGGTCCTGGCCGTGAAAAAGTACTCTTCGGAGTCCTCCTCCAAGCTGCTGTAGCCACTGCTCATCGTGCTATTCCACGTCATTTGCGGAGAAAAACACCCTCGAGAAACTCATCTAAATGTTCCCATGTTTTTTGCAAGAAAACGCAACTGTCACTACGAGAAAGGGGGTCCGACAAACTTTAAATATCTCGCCAATTTAAACCTAATTTCGAAGAAAAAACCCCCACGCGGAACTCCAGTAACACCGACGCCTTACTGTTGAATGTATGATCCAAGTTATCTGAGTGTGACAGCGAGGCTACAGTAAGGCCCCGCCCACTACACACAGCCAGCCAATCAGCTGTGTGACACTTAGTGACGCCCCCGCCCACTACACACAGCCAGCCAATCAGCTGTATGACACTTAGTGACGCCCCCGCCCACTACACACAGCCAGCCAATCAGCTGTGTGACACTTAGTGACGCCACGCCAAATACAACTCGACAGCCAATCAGCGCTTTGATGGCAGGTTTGAGTGGTTGATGTTGAAGATTATCACAAACTTTTGAATAAATAATTGACAGAAATGTCAAAAAACATCTTGTTTTAATTGTATTGAGTATTTATATTTATTTTGCCATTCATTTTTTTGCTTTCACAAGAGTATGCTACTATTTAGTGCCTGTTTTCTCAACCTTAATTGTTCTTTTTCTGTAAACTTTAAACTCTTTGTATTCCTCAATAAACACTGAGAGGGAAAAAACAAAGGGGAATAGTGGTTTTAGTTGTTTTTATGTTGTTTTTATTATGCAAATTAAAAGTTTCTCAACTCGGGTGAAATATTCTTTTCTGGACAGTCTTGACATTTTTTTTATCCAAAGTAATTTCCCTTCTCATCAGTAAATAGTCAGAAAAGTAAAGGACTTCTCGAGACTTCTTGTAAAATATAAACTGCGCCACTTTCCAGCCTGTAAATCTGGGTAGCTCCTTCATTAAGAGCTCCCTTCTATTGTTTTGTCTCATTAAAAAACACACAAAACCCAATAAAAACAGACCAGAAAGAACCAAATCATTCATTGGCTTGTAAATACTAGTTTGGGAAAACAATCCAAACTGTATACATCATGGCGATGGATTGAGATCGATCCATAATTGCTGGCATGTCAACAACAAATAAAGGTTGTGTGATACGACTGAAAGCTTTAACCTTTGATTGATTATAAAGTATCCGGTTTTATCTGCACCTCAGTATGTTTCTTTAAACCCTGAAACACAGAGAGCAGATTCTAGCGTGCAGTTTTTCTGCACTTTGTGCAAAGTCAAAATGGAGAGTCTCCCTCAAACCTCAGGAATCTCACAACAAAGCTTGAAAAACCACTGACAGGAATAAAGTTACCCACATCCCCAAAAATATATAAGGTCAAAGGTCAGTTACAGAATAGCCAAAATGTAAAATTTAGAGTCTTACCTCGATCAGCAGGCAACAAACTAACGCTAACTTTCTGAGCTTCTTCCTCTGCAACATGCTTTTCCTGCCTCTGCTTGCATCAAGTAAACTAAAAGTACCGACACTAAAGGCTTTGAACGGCTGGACTGACACATTTTGGGTGTAATGTGTTTAATTGCGAAGGCCAATGGGTGGAACAGGACTCGTGCACAGCCGCCTCTTCAGACATTTTAACATCTCCAGGAGGTCGTAATGCTGGTGGGAGATGATGTTTGATTGCATGCATCAGTTGAACAGTTGAATGTTTGAATGATACCATCAACCTCTTTCTCTGGGATGTTTTTCGGGGTTGTGCAAATGTTTTCTCTGGACAATAGCAGGCTGAGGATACAATCAGCCAAACCCAAATGAGAAGCCTCGATGTGGTGAGGTTTGGTTTTACCATAAGTCATGGTTTTGGTGCAGGCTAGCCTTTTGTAGCAAGGTATACTGAGCAAAATGTAAAACTTTCTGTTTCCCCCAAAATCTTATTCCCTAGTTGTCTTGTCAACATCACACCCAACTCCCCCCCCCCTTCTTACGTTCAGCAATGGTCCGCCACTTTGCTCCAGGCTGAAATATCTTAACAACTATTGGAAAGATTGTCATGAAACTTGGTTTCCCTCAGGATGAATTGTAATAACTTTGATGTTTAAGTGATTTTTCATTTAATACTTGTTAAACTTATGACATCCCCATCAGCCTCAGCTGCAATTTGTGTATGTGTTAGCATGCTAACACGCTAAACCAAGATGGTGAACATGGTAAACATTATACCTGCTAAACAGTGGTGTGTTATAGCATTGAAGTTCGTAGCATGTTAGCATGTTGAACTTAGCATTTAGCTGAAGAACAGCCTCACAGAGCTGCTAGCATGACTGTAAACTAGTGTTGTGATGTTGTGTGTCAGGCATGTTGCCCAAAACAAAACGTACAAAAATCAAGTATCTGTATGTTAAATCAGTCTGCTAGCTGTCCTTTTCTTTTTACTCACATTAATATCAACTAAAGCTGCTTTGACTTGCAGTATTAACACACTGCAGCTACGTTTTCAGTGGATTTTTGAAAATGTGTTTCCAATAAGGTTTAATATTGAATGTTTGCAAGTGAATCATAGCACCCAAAGCGCCTGTATGCTGCCGTCATACAGCATCATAAAACATAAATAAGAAATAAAAAGTAGATGAAACTTTATAATACAGCATGTTCAGCAGAGCAGCAACCTGAGGTCGCCTGCTGACTTTATGTGGTCGTTTATGTGGTGTGTTTTATGCCTTTAATATCGCCACTACACGGGCCAACAACTGTAAGCTATTACCGAGCACAGAGACGATTAAACGTGAAGTGTCGGTGCACCTTCTGTTTTCAGCTACTTCCAGGACCGTGTTTTCACCGAGGGTGAAAGATTTCTAACATCATATGATCGTATAATTGCCCAGATTGCAAATAAAGGGCCAAAATAATCACCAAAGCAGGTTCAGCTGCAGGGTGAAAATCTACAGTACATCTGCACTAAATCAAGCCTAACCCACACACAACAACTAGTCCACAAGCTGGGAGATTTTTAGACAGAAAGGCTCTAATTTAAAACCAGTTGGGTTAGAAGAGGGACCGAAAATAAACACGGCACATCTGGGGGAAGCCAAACCACCGTCGTGTCCTTTATAATACTGTGGAGATTCATCCAAAACACACACAGTACGCAGATAAGCAGCCACCAGAAACTGTGTCGTGTGATACAGAAGGGAGTCAGAGACACAAATACACACTTAAAAAGCTTCAGGTAAACACATATACTCATGTTGTTTTGTGTTTTTACACTTGCCATGTTAACCAAATCAGTTTTTGTGTGTGTGTGTATATATATATATATATATATATATATATGGTGATTAGGTAGGAGCGTGTGAAATCAGCCCTGCAGGTTTCACTCTCACTACACACACACACACACACACACACACACACTCACTGGTGTTAATCTGCTGTCCAGTCACTTTGGCCCGGAGCCAGTCTGGTTGAACTTCACTCACATTCCAGTGTGAACTTAACGAACATGCACACACTCTGCTGTAACTCTGTGGCTGTCAACACAAAGGCACAAAGTGAACAGCAGGGAAGATGTAAAAGATTAAACCTTTCCCACGGCGCCAACATGCATCTGTTACTCTACGTGTGCTCGTGTACATTGAGTTTTATTCATCAAACGTTTTAGGAATCGGTGCAGCAACAAATAATGATGCTGAGAAAAAGTGAGAGAGTCTTGATCTTTGTGTTTACATTTACAGATAATGTAAAGGATTAAATGTTCCTTTATAGCCCAAAAAATGTGGCCTTCCTCTTAAAACCCGAATAAAAACCTTCCAACAAACGGCAAGTATACATCGATGTTCAGCACATGTGAATTATATAAATAAAGATGCACCTTTCACCTCCATTGTATCAGGGGTTTCAGCAGAAATGTTTCAAAACCTCTGCAGATAAAACCAACATCATCCGTGTGACAAGTGAGATTATAGGTTTTATGTAATTTGGGTGAACTGACCCTTTAAATAGCTGTTTTATTTATGTTCCATAAAGGTTTTCATTCATTTTACACTGTGTTATGACCTAAATAAAATAACAAATAATAATTATTGTACGACATTGGGGCTGTCTCGATATCAGATTTTCATTACACGATTATTGTGGCCAAAACATTCAAGATAAAAATAATATCACTTTTCTTTGAACATTTTAAAAGTAATATTAATAAAAATAATAAAACTGATGATAATGCGTTCAGTCAAATACATCTTTTCTTTTGTTTATTTGCCTTTTGTCTCTTTTTTTGGCTAATGAATTAAACTCAAAGTATGAGGGAGATGGAGAGTCTATATAAAATTAAATATATAAAATGTATTATTTTTAAACATCACAGTTATCGTATACCCCGACACACAACATTCACACTTATTACTTAATACAAACATTAAAAAATGACTTATTATTTTATTTGGACACAATCCGTTTGCAAAAGAAATATGAGGAAAAATAGAAAAACCCAAAAATAATCATTAATCAAATATCATTCCTAAATTCTGCTCACTAATATCGCTCATCCTCGCTAAGATGTTGAAGCCAAACTACTTTGACATACTGAGAAACTTTTCTCTCATTGAACAGAAACCACAACTCGTAAAGTAACGTGAGTGAAGAGCCACACGGCAGGAATGAGATGCTGAATGCTGAGCTACAGCTCTGTGATAATGATCAAGATAAACGTGAAAGGAGAGAGAGACGTGAGGAATGCGGTCCGGTGGTTTTGGTCAGATGGATGACCTGCAGCTCTGCAGTCGTAGTCACACATTACATGCATTCCAAAGCAGGGCAGGTCCGAAGCTTCCCTACTGAGCGAATGGTCACTGCGGACCTATTTTAGGTATCTTCCCACAGATTTTACCTCAAAGTTCTTCCTCACACTCCGATGAAGGAACCCTGCGAGCTAGTTAAACGTGTTTTTTGTCATTGACATCACAATAGCATTCAAATTGTAACATACATTTATGCACAAATGTAACCCTCAACACAATGTGTTTAGTGTTTCTAGTTAAACGCTAATTTACAACGCTTGTCCACAAACATTGTGTTGCAATTTAATTTCAGTTGGTTGACAGTTGCGTAGTTGTGCTCCTTTAATTCAGGATAAAAAAAATAAAGATTACGTTTTCTTCATTCATTTAAATAAATAAAACACTTGATGGTGATTTAACTGGATCCCAAAACTCTGGATTTTGGTCTGAATAACTCAGG